GAAATGGGAGGGGTAGGGCAGGGTAGGGCGTGGGGAGAAGGATAGCTAACAGTAAGAATGCTTGAAAATCCATATGGAAATCTGCCATTTATAAGCTTCCTGAATATTTATGTATATATAATATAGTCACAGAAAAGAATTTTGATGTCTTAATTCTAAAATTTAAAATATACTTTGCTATGACAATGTAATTTAAGCTTTAAAATATTCTTAGACATGATATTTAGTTTCTTTTTGTTTGCTTTCAGAGTATTTTGATCATACTAGAAAGGTTACTTAATTGTTATTAAATGAATTTAAAATATATGTTTTCCTGACTCTCCTTATCAATACATAGGTATATATTGATGTTAAAAATGTAATTTTATCGTTAAGATTACATGATAAGTTTAAAGTCTGAACTTCGTGGCCACTAAAAGTCCCACTGCTGTTTGTGAAAAGTGCTTAAGGATGCCCTGGACAAAGTTCAGTCTAAGCAATAACAGCCTGCTCTGTGTTCCTCTTTGCCCTATGTCCATCTTGAGAGCATTCTTTTTTCCTTCTTGTTCTAAAAAGCTGTGTAAAATTGCTGAATTCATTTAAGTTTTTTTCTACATTTTGTTCAGTAGTTCAGAATAAATAAATGAATGATAAGTACATGATATCTACACGTGCAATTTGTTTGAATGCAAATACTTAAGGTCATCATACAAGTCATTGTCAAATGGATAATCTTTTTGGGTAGTAGAGTAGAATGCTGTTTAACCAATATTAGACAACCATTGCTCATAAATTCATCACTAAGTCTGGCTTTATAAAATGTACCAAATGTGTCCCTTTATTTCCAAAGCAATCCTTAAAAGTTTTTCAGTGGTCCTTAAAGGTACCTGTTCAAATGAGGAAAAAAAAAAAAATGCGCTCAGCTCAATGAGTCCTGAAATGTACTTGGCATAAGATCAGCTCAAAGTCACAAGTCAGTTCTGCTTCTTTTAATTTGATGCAGATGATTAAAATGGTGCTGGGCAGCAATGTTACTGTTCAATGAGGATGGGGAAAACTGGAAAGACAATGTTGTAGCTTCAATGGAAAATAGTAATTTAGTAATAGTAATATTCTGATTTTCTATTGCATCCTCAAACTAGAAATGTGATTTTTAAAATTTTTAATTTAAAAAACAACTTTGAATATGTATATGTATACTCGTCTCTTTGCACACAGAAGACATTAGAATTGATTCATCCTAAATTGAGTAGAATTTATAGAAGGCGGACCATGCTGAGTTTAAGTTCCTGGAAGACTGTATCTGAAACCCTAGAGTTTCCTTCCTGCTATTAAACTGACATTCTGTTCAAGTCACCATACTACTGGGTCCCTTAGGTCTGCTTGTCTTCCCTATGTATTTCTTTGGACCTCTGGACTCTCTTTTTTAGATATTGAGAAAATTTCTTGCTTTTCTGTGGCTTACTAACATGGCCCTTTCAGATGCTAATTTGAGCTTCTTTTAAGATGCACATTACTATTTTAAGTTTCAACTATAATTCAACTTTTAATTTGGCAGGTATTTCTTTAATTCTTTGATAAAGGTTTGCAGTTATTCATTAGTCTCACTTACTTATCTACAACTACCAACATAAGTCGAAAACCACATGTTAAGAAAAAAACAAAAATTGTGACTGTGCTATGAAATCACGCAGACCTGCGGAAGGCAGCAGAAAGGAGCTCTTATTATCGAGAAACTGTTCTGAGCAAAGTGGAAACAGTGTAAGGGCCAGAAATCTGTTAGTGGAGAGGAAAAGGGAAGCGAAGAGCTGGATATTGATCTTGCCAAGTGGAGCAATGCAAGATAATATTACATTGTGAATTTCTTTCCGTTATTTTCTCAAGTACAATCCAGTAACTCAGATTAGAAGAACAATGGCTGAAATCCTGGAGCCAATCCTAGACCTTGATAAAGCCCTAGGAAACAGGAAATAGCGCAATTATTGAGAAGAGGAAAGACTTACTTAGATTTAAGTCACTATTTTTTAAATCAAAAGTGGGTTTCTGGATCATAACCCATATCCTATATTTTTAATAAAAATGGCACCATAATGTTTTGTTTCAAAAAACAGTGTGTCATAAGTTATAGCAATCATTACTCAAAGAACAAAACATTGTGACTACCTGGACAGTGAGAAGTTGACAAACCAGTCATTACTGGTTTTTGCCCAGCAAGGAGCCTTCATGATGAAAAGTCAAAATTTAAAGGTTAGATTATTATTGTTTCCTCTCCTCCTTCATCTTGTCTTCAAATACTTTGGGGATTCTATGAGACACACCCTGAGACAGTTCATCCTCTCCAAGTGCTGACAGTCAAGGAGGGAGACAAACAGTGAAGAAATCAGAATCTACTGGGAGATTGATGATTATTTTTTTCGTTACATTGGGCTTTCACTATAGACAACTATATAGAAATCTACTGAGCAATGTGGACGTGGACTCTGCATCCTATTAAATATTTTTCACCTTTCTTCTTCAATGTGTTTATTACACATTATTGAGATAGCATTAAGGGAAGTTAGTGCAAAGGCACAACTTTCAGTTCAAAGCACTGAAGTTAAATGAGGCCTTATAGAAGGAGGGAACAGGAGCAGAGGAAGGCCAAAGGGAAAGCCTCAGGGATGGCAAGAAATACAACTGCTTCATGCTAAGGGATGGGAGACTGAAAGGTTTGACATTTGGATATGGGAAGAGAGAGTTTGGGTTGTCTTTGATAGTTCCTATGAAATTCGGTAAGCAATAAACGACCATGTTCAGGTGGGAAGAGAGGACAAAGTTGTACCTGCTGAATATCATAGAAAGCTTGCCAGGAAATGAAACTACATGAGTGAAAAGGAAGGGGAAATTACTAGTGACATGGCTGACACAAAACTCTATTAAGTGAAGACAAAGACTGAAATGGGAGCAAGTCCTGCAAGGGAGGAGAGTTAGTTTTGCCAAAAAGTCCTATCACTCAGTGCTTTAAAAGTTGGATAGCAGGCTTACAGCTGGAGGGGTATGGGAGCTTGGCAAGCCCCTACCTCTCCTGAGCATTTCCTATAAATGATAAAAGATTTATCTCAGCTGTCCACAGTGGTTTGAGAAAATGTTTATTAATGAACTTTAGGGCAGATTTCTGATCTTTGCTGAAAACAGGTGTATGTGTGAGGGTTTCTAGGTAACTAAGATGAAGACTAATCAGTTCCCTTATTTTAATAGCATCCCTTGTTCACTTCTCTTGAAGAAAGGCATGTATGAAGAGCTTATTATTTATATTTTTAATAATTGGGGGAACACTTTTGCATATCTAAACTCTTTATTCTTCTTCATCTCATATGATTGCTTTTCTCCCAGTGTTCTCTGTATTCCTTTCTAGTTTTGGAGTTGTACACTCTAGGATTATTTCAGTATTATGCCATGCAGGAAGACAGAAGATTGGCTCAACAGTGCTGCTGACAATTCATCTGTCAGGGTGTAACTGTCTGGCATACCCGTCACTGTTTTGCATTCCTTTGCAGAGTATGCCTTTGTTTAGTCTTGAGGGAGTAGGCTTCCCTCATTTTCCATACACTCAGGACATGGCTAATGACCGTTCTACTTTGTATGGAATGCAGATGTTTGCACATGGTTTATCCAATCAGCTCTCCTTTCCTTTTGCAAATTGTAAGGTGTCTAATCTATAAGGAAGGTTCAAGGTATTCTTCTCATGCAGTTTCTAGGAAAAATCGCATGGGTTATGGCAGAAAAATTGTGCTTCTTTCCAATTTACCTCATTTGTTTTTAAAGTCCCCCAGTCTGCATTCTTGACATATGTAGCCTGTGATTGAAGCCTTGGCTAATTAGTTATTATCCTTTGAAGTTATAAATCCTTATTTTAGCAATATGCCTTTGAAGCTAGAACAGCTTTTGTAAAAGCTAAATACTAAGAATCTTTATAATTTCATGTTGTCATTTCACATTATAATTTTGAGTGAATCGTATATCTTCATTACATAAAATAGAAAACTTTTCATCCACCTTAGGAATTTAAATAGTATGTCAGTCCATATGATGCCCAGATGAATTTTACTACCATTACCCAAATATATGGCTGCTTTATGAAGAGGTAATAGATATCCAGAAAAGGACACTTTTAAGTTCTATATTTTAAGTTGTTTTTTTTAAAAAAGAGAATAATCTTCAAGAATTGAAAATCTTTACTACAAACATATGTACCTTACCACAAATAAATAATGTGTGGTTTTATTTGTGTGTGGCCATTTTAACACTGATATATCTGGACTTATCTCCACTTGACTTAAGTCACAAATCATGGCTCTACAGGGAAGTAAAGCAGTAGCTCTAACTTACTCCCGTTTGAAGCAATGATTTGCTCAGTACCTCTGGGAAATCATGGAGGGATCCATAGTCCTGAAGGTAACTGTGATCCAAGTCAGCTCAGAAGAATGGTGATAGTGACACTCATCTGTCATTCAGGCACAGAGAAAGAAGCTTAGGGATTGTTCCTTACATGTTTAATGTCCTTGCATCTGTGCTCTCATGGTTGTGAATGTTCATTTTTCTTGTTCTTTTTTGTTTAGCATTGTACATTATTTTAAATAATTTATATTCACAGAATATTTGCAATGAATTTTTGCTTCATAGTGCAGATAACTGAATTACAGGGCACATGTGTGACTGATTAATTTAGATCTTAATAGCAAAGGGAGTGCTCAACAACCATTTCTGATTGATGAAAGTGAGAAAAACCTGGAACTGGGATTTCGATATTTTTTTAAAATCTCTGACTTTTTTTTGACACCTTCTTGCATTTCCTAAGGTTAATAAAAACTCACTGTTTTAGGCATGCATAATTGAATTATAAACTATACTTTGGCATGTATAAGATTGAGAGTCTGTTGTTAATAATTATTGGTACATGCCAAAAAACATTTGCAAGCACAGTAAAGTCTTTAATGTATTTGATTACTAGTTATTGATCTATCCCATTTTTATCTCAACAGAAATTGGTCCAGTGACAATTACCACAGATCCCAAGAAATTTCAGTATGAACTCAGAGAACTATATGTTCAGGTAAGTACTTACTTTCCTTTTTTTTTTTTGGTGGTAATGGAAAACCATAAACCTTTGACTGACTTTCTTCATTTTTAAAATCTGAAATAATTGCCTTAGGGACTCAAGAAATGCCTCTTTTTCCACATGAGCATAGAGTGAGTTGAACAGCAGATATAGAATAAGATAGGTTGAGTTCATTTGTGCAATGCCGATGGTGCCTTTGCCTTGCAATAGAAGGGTTGAGGTGGGACCGAGACTGGTCTCTTTACAGCTAACATTTGCTGAGCCTTGCCCTCGATGGATTCCTTCCCTAAGATGCACAAGGACCAGCTAATAATCTGTCCTCACAACATAAAAGACATAGGTGATTTGGATACTCTGTGCTCTAAGTTAACCATATGAAGTTTTTTACTGTAAAGATTATTTGATTTTTAGAGAACTCAAGCAGCCTCATGTTATTCTGAAGCAGAACTTAGAGAATGAGTTGGTGTGCCTTGCCTCCTTAGTATTGCTTTGAGAGTATCCTAAATCCATACACTAAATCAGTTTGCTTCCGAGAGGCTGTTTCATTATGCTCCCTTGATGGCTTTAGCTGCTCTCATTTACGTATGTTTTGGTCAGTTTCCATCATTCATGGAGATGACAGGTACCTGTTTCATAGATACTGCTCCCTTTAGGGCTACCATCATGCCCAGTGACCTAAGTGTGTGTGGTAATAACCCAGTCAGTGACTTCTCAGCTGCTTAACGTACTAATAGTTACTTTTCTGTTGCTGTGATAGAAACACTGATCAAAGCAATTTATAGAAGGAAGAGTTTATTTGAGCTTACGGTTCCAAAGGGGCAAGAGTGCATCACGGCAGGGAGGCATGGTGGCAGAGGTGGCTGGAGGTGAAGCAGAAGCTAAGCTCTCACATCTTCAAGCAGGCACAGGAAGCAAGAGAGTGACTGGCCATCTGGCAAGGCTTAAAACCTCTCTAAGCCCACCCCCAATGACGTGCTTCAGCATAGCCACACCTTTAAGACCTCCCAAAACATCGCCACCAACTGGGACAAAATGTCCAAATACTTGGAGCCTGTGAGGGACATTCTCATTCAAACTACCACATAATCCATCTCAGTGGCCTTTCTTCCACCACAGTTTAGTCTTTGAATCCCATGAATACCTCTGGGCCTTGCCATCATCCCAACTATTCCATATTCCATATGACTTATTTGGGCATCTCAGTGTCCCCAACACTCTGTGCATGGAGCTTGTTGGTGCAACAGCTTCTTATGCTACCCGTTTTTTCACATTCACCAAGCACTTCAGCCAGTTGGTCCTTATGGTTTCTCTCAGGCCATCAGATCACTTCCCTCCATTCTCGTTCAGAGATTTCTCATTTTAAAAACACTGTTTTATTTCTTTTGTTCATTGTTTCTCTGTTCAAAGGCAGAAACTCATTTCTGAGTGACTGGAGTATCTTCAGGATTCATGCTTATCCACCAGTGACCAAAAGCTGCTGAAGTCTCACCGCATGAAGGGTGGATCCCACTGTGATTTCATAACCACCTGTTTCACATTCCAATAGTCCTGCCATATTTCTTTGGCCAATTCAGTATCTCATTCTTCTTAACGACAATTTAAAATCTTACCTGCTATCTTTAAATGTTTGCCCTATGACCTTTCTACTAGTGTCTTATTTCAGCACTTGGTCTACTCAGAGCAAGTGACCTACTTCTGTTTCACATATAGACACATACAGACAAAGCCCTTGGCTTTGATGTTTTTATTTTAGTAGTACTGATGTTTTCCTCTTTGACATTTACTTTTTCTTCATGTACTCTCCCATTTTTCCCCCTACTTTTCCTTTGAAACATCTTAAGAATGCTTCTTTCCTGCTAATTGGCTGTTAAATGTTGGGGTTTCTCAAGGTTTAAAAACAGGGCCCCTCTTTCTCCTCATTTTATAGTTCACCCTAAAAATTAAATTTTATATCCCCTCCTTAAAACTATCCATGCTCACATTTGTTTGGAGTCTTAGATTCTCTTTTGAAGAAGAGATCCTCATTTTAATCTCTTGGATGCTAAGATGGCTTTCTAAAATGAGATTCACAACTGTTCCTTGTAAGGTTTCCCAAACTTACCTCTTAATCCTTGCCCTGTGTCCCCCCTTATTTATTACTTTTGTGAATGGTGCCTGTAGTATTGTGATTATCCAAGTAAATTGACATTTTTGATTCTTTGTTAATAATACAGCTCTCACATTCAAACTTCCAAAAATATTGTTTTTAACTTTCCAAATATCTTTAAACTCAATTTTCATTTCTCTTGACACTATCCTAATCACAACGACTATATCATTAGTTTGAGCTAATGGAGAAAAGCACCTAAGTGGTTTTCTTGAACTTGCTTTGATTTGCTAGGTCTTTCTCTAATCTGCAGATGAAAGGATCTTAAAGCATGTCTCTGAAAATTTTTGTCTGATATCATTGTCTACTTGTCCTTACAGGGTCTAATCAAATAGTTCCCTGGGTTTCAGTGGCCCAAGACCCGCCTGCCTCTTTTTCTCTGTCTAGTGCCACCATTTTCCCCTGGATCTGTGCTCTGTCTCATGGGGCTTGGCATAGAGCCTCATTGTATCTGTACCCTCACCTTTCTTCTGGGGCTTTTACATGTGGCGTTCTCCCTGCACAGGAAGTTCTTGCCTTTCAACTCTCAGTTCTGCTCTCCCTTAACAGAGTTCGAAATCTTATACTCAAATTCTCGTCCTGAATACTATTTCCTCAGAGACTCCTGCCCTGTAGTCCAGGTTTAGTCATCTCACTACCTCCTTGTCACAGTGCAGGTAGTGTTTCTATGTTGATAGCGCATTATAAATTATACACCATACATCATTAAATCCTCTAAGTAAAATGCCTGACATGCAGGGTGTGCTCACATATGACTTTGAGTGAAGTGGTGAATGAGTATGCCAGCATATGAAAATCAGCAGAGGTCAAGTTAGAGCTTGAAGTATAGTACTTAATTAGTTGTAATGCTAGGTAAACAACTTGATTTGGAGCTATGAGGCTGGTTCTGTTTTGTGCATATCTTTACTTATAAATTATATACTGAACTGAGTTATATTTAATAAATACATAAATGGACTTACATTATTAGCTCTTGACTAGTCTTGCTTTTCTCCATTTCTTCTCATCTGTTTTCCCACTAGTAATCTTCCATTTCTTTGCTCTTACAGAATGCCGTTCTTTTTCAGTCATTAACTTACTACTTATTAACTATTCACATTTCTCCTCCTTAGTATAGAAAATTCTTTGTTCTGTTGGATGTAGAGAGTCTCTGAAAATTCCTTTGTGGAATTTTCCGTCTGGTTCATGGATCATGACATGAGAAATTCTACTTTCTTGGTTGCTTCAGTCTTTTTCTTCTCTTACTCTACAGTGAGCCCCTGAGGGAAAGAGCCTTGTCTGGCTCACTGTCGCCTGTGCTTCATGGGGGACAAACCAGTGTTTGTAGTGCAGTGTGCTTTGAATGGCTGTTGGACCAGTGACTGACACTTCCTTTTAAAATTTGAATATCAGCAGCTAAATTATATCAGAACAATTCAAACTTAATGGGACAAAGATATCTTAAAAACATAATACCCATTTTCATTATATTTTAGAGATGGAGAGGAAAAAAAAAGGCCAAGTACTAGAGAGTTCAGGCTAAAGGACTGTTAGGAGGAGGTTTCCTGTATTCGTTTTCTTTTCTCTGTAGAAATAAAACTGAACTATATTCACAAAAGTCTGAGCAGATTGAGAATAGCTACATTCCAAAGAAGGCGTGGCACCGTACTTGGGCTTCCTGCCTCTCCCTTGTGTTCTGCAGGAGCTTCAGGGAGTGCCCTGTCCGCCCTGCTTTATGTCTGCAGGCTTGGGGAGCCTGCTTCCTGACTCACCCATTGACTCCTGCCAGAGCTCTTTCCCACCTCTGGAACTGAATCTGATGCAGTCAAAATATAGTGTCATACGATTTTATCTCCACTTAAAAAATTAATCTCTTTCTCCTCCGGAACTGGAACTGGTGTCCTTTTCTCTGGACGTGTCCTCTGGACAAGTCGTATCTTATGATTATTTATTGTTGTTCTGTTTTGGTTTTACATTGTCATGTGATCCACACCTCACTGGGAAAGAAATCAGATATTTTTGTTTATTTTATTCAACATTGAGAGCTGTTACAGGCATCAAGGATTCCATGGAAGTGATTTTACTTTCAAAGACTCTAGTGTATTAGTCTTCCCTCGGTCAGAACAAAAATTGTGTTCAGTGAGGGTCAAATATAAAAAAACTCCTGCAAAGCTCTAAGCTTCATCCGCAATTAACATTTAATTTAAGGGAAATATACCATTTTTTCTTTGTTCTTTGCTTGGACACTATTCTATTATTTCATAAATTAGTATAGACAACTGAATATATTATGTATTTTATAAACTTTTCATTTAGGATGATTAATTTTGTTTTGTGTTTTCTCCCTCCCTCCCACACCCCAAATCACTGATATTGAGAGCAAGGTTTGCTGTGCCATTAAAGCTTAACTTGTTTTTTGTAAAACATCTAAAAACATCGCTTTCTTATTTAAATTAGTTTTGAAAACAAGAAAGTGAATTCAGTTTGAACTAAATCAAATGTTTATCTATTAACAGTACATCTGTCTTATGAGTTTTCACATAGAGAAATGGAATGAGAAAACTAATCTAAAAATTTCCCCCCCAAATGTCCAAAAATCACTGCACTCAAATCATTGTATTTATTATATTAATTTTATTTTAATCCTGTTTCATCTGGAAATGAACTTTCTCTCTTGGGAAAACAAGGAAAGACAAATGACAAATGGTATTCAGATCACACAGAGCCTTGGCAATTAATATACTTGTAACTATGCGCTGAGGACTGCTGCCTTGGGTCACATTCTTTATAAAAACTATAAAGTGTGCTGATTTTTCGAAATTATTATTGGCACTGATATGCTTTTAAGCATTTTATCCAAATGTTCTAG